AAAAAAAAAAAAAAAACCTAACATTTTAGGAAGTGCAAATTATATAACTTCAATTGATAGTCTAAATTCTGAAATTCCATACTGGCAGCAGCAGTAAACACCTCTGGAGAGGCCCACCTTTTCTGGTTTTTCGCTAAACAGAAAACCTTGGTAAAACTTTATCTCTGTGAAGACACAGCGGATAACGGAGATGGCGCAGTTGTACGCGGCGCAACGGTAGCGTCTTCTCCTCTCCAGTAACTGGCTCTCTCCCGCCATGTTCTCTGTGAAGGCATCGTGGCACGACCTGGAGGAGGGACCAAGGCTACAAAGTGACGTACTGTACTTGGCATGCAAACCAAGGCTCGGCCAGGCGCGGCGGCGCACATGGTAACACTGGTGCTCTGGGAGGCAGAGGCTGCAGAAACACAAGTTCAAGGCCAGCCTGGACAATTTAGCAAGCCCTTAGCTCATAACTTATAGAAGCTGGAGATACAGTCTAGTGTGAAGACCCTGGGTACAATCCTCAGTTCCGAAAAGGTCAAAAAAAGGAAAAGAAAAACTGATGCCTGAACTCAGCAAGGCAGGCCCCGGATCTCCTCAGCTCGACCCCTCGCGTGTGAGGCTTCCGCCAGGCCCAGCCCGGGGCCCTGGGGCAGGAGATGAGCTTGGCACCTCTGAGTGCAGACCCGAATGCGGGCCTCACCACGCAGTGCTAAGCACAGCGACGAGAACAAGCGGTAAAGACAGGAAGCAAGGAGGACAGAGTAGCCTAGTCTAAGGCGCTGACAATAAAGATTTCAGAGAAAATGTCAGAGCTGAGCTGTTTGACTGTCTTTAAAAGACAGGTCTCCCTGTTCTCTGGCCTGGCCGTGAACTCTGGGCTCAAGAAATCCCCCGCCTCAGCCTCCCAGCTTGAAACAGAGTTTCCCAGAACAGAAAGGGACATAGGCAGCACTCCGAGCAGGGAAGAACATCACTCAGAACGGGGGCTGGGCGGTGTGGTGTGCTGGGAGGCGCGGGAGCAGCCGGTGGCTGGCGGCCGGCGGCGAGAGCTGGCTCTGGCAGAGCTCGCCCATCGCGCGCAGGGCGTGGGCTTCACCCCGCCAGGCGGGGCCACGCCGCACTTAGGAGCCCGCTACTTCTCAAACAAGCTTTCCTGGAGTGCAGCCCCGCCACTCGCTGACAGCTACGGGCTTACGCAAGGTACAGTGCTGCAGTGGTGGCAGATTATATGGCCCACAAACCAAAACGATTTGGCCTTTACGGAAAGTCTGCCCACCCATTATTGAAGTCCCAGGTGCTATTGAAGGGCTACCGGTGAGAAAATGAAAGGGTCAGATGCGGGTTCCAACTGCATCATCACTTCAGCAGAAGAGACATGAAAAAGATTCGTCTAGGAGCAGAGAAAAGAATTCCAGATGGCGAGATAGCTCAGTGGTCTAAAGCACCTGCTTAGGCAAGCTTAGGCAGGTGCAGGCGACTGAGGTTCGATCCCCAGCACCACATACTATGCCAGCCCCACCCTCAGGGCCAGCTGAGCTGGCAAAAAAATTCTAGAGCACACAGGCACAATGGCTCACAAAGAAGCCCAGACACCATGACAACCACAGGAAGGGGAACAGAAACTGGTGGCAGGAACCCTGGAGAATAAAATCTGGCAAATTGGTAAATGACAGGGTGTTGGCAAAAGATGGAGAAAGGTGGAGGAAGCAGGATGAGCGGTGATCACCAAGCCCCTCGGACACTAGGCAGTGAGAGGAAGGTGACACCATTCCCGGAAGCAGGGAACAGAGGGACAAGCGTAACAGAGTGGCAACAAGTCTGGAGACAAAGTGCACGGCACAGGCTCCTACTTAGAAGAACTCCATCAGAACACTTGTTCTAGAGAACATACCTGACTCACCTGTGCTTTACAGAATGCCTGGAAAAATACCACTTTTAAAATTTTCAATGACAGTAAAAATAAAATTGGAGTTGGTACAAATTTATCCAGCTACTGGAGGGCAGAGGGTAGCAAAAAACTGTGAAAGAAAAGGAAGTTTAAAAGCCAGGTGTGGTGCTGCACACCTGTAATCCTAGCACGCAGGAGGCTGGGGCAGGAGGATCCTTGCGAGGTCCAGACCAGCCTGGGCTACAAAGTGCGCTCAAGGCCAGCCTCAACTGCGTAGCTGTCGGAGGCCAGATTTAAAAAAAAAAAAAAAAAGATACAACAGCACAACCTGGCAATGCACACAGCTTCCCTGACCCGCGGCTCAGGCAAAGGGCCCGACTGCGGACTCGGTTCTGGAACGTGCAGTCTTCTGTTTATTAGCAGGCCTTGGCAATCTATTCTCCCCCCAAAACGAAGAAGGCTTAGCACTGACTAAGATAAACGTTGGGTACAACATCAGGACTTTCTGTCTACTTGCTTTTTATTCCGTCCTCCCTCCACCCTGATCCCCCGTGTGAGGGCAGACCTCCACATGTAACGGGACCCTGTCTCAGAAAGACAAAAAAAAAAAAAAAAAAAAAAGTTTTATTCTTTACAAAAGGTGAATATGAGATAAAATGTCTTTGTCCAATAACACACTAAAGTCCATCTAAGAAGTCTGTATACGAGAAAAAACAGAAACTATAAAAGTTTTGTATTTAAGTAAAACGTACGTACACATTATACAAATGGTAACAGCCACTAAAACTATTAACAAATTAAATACAGTAAAATCTTACTTAATAAGTGTCTTTGTAAGTTCATTTCCTTCTGTAACACCGGAGCCATGGAAAACTTGATTAATTTTAGATTCCTTGGAGTAAACATCATCTTTTGGAAGACGCGAATACATCACTTCTAGCATCTTGTAATAACCCATCTTCTTGGTGATTTGAGTTTCAAAGGTAGATTCGTTTAGCTTAGAAAAGGTAATAGTGATCATCGGTCTTAATAAACACGGAAAATATCTTACTCAATATATCATACTTTTGATTCCCAGTACAAAAAAAAAAATCAGATTTAACATTTAGTGTTCTTTAGATAGGAAATAATCTTTAAAAAGAAGCTAAATAGTTCAAAAGGAAGAGTTCCCTGTTGCCTGGGGCTTCCAACGTGGATGTATCATAACTATAAGGGCGAAAGAAAAAATAACACATGATGGGAAAGTAGAGGAGAAGGGAAAAAAATTGGGGTGTGTTATATATGTGTACCAATTCCCCACAATGAATCAGTATGTACTGCAAATGTACTAAAAACAAATTAAAATTTAAAAAAACCACACATGATATACAAATAGTGAGCCGTGGGTGTGCCACATCTGTACAAAGTCTTTCAGAAGACTTTCATAGGAACAGCATGTGAAAATCAACAGGGAAAACACCAATGTTCACCTCTTCTGAACACTACATTAAAACTGTACTATTTGGGTATTTACAGTATCTCCCAACAGGATTTCCTGGGAAGTCGGGGAGATAGATGGCTCAGTGGAGTGGGAGCTTCTGGCAAGCTCAAGGGCCTGAGTTCAATCCCTGGTTACGCAAAAAAAAAAAAAAAAAAAAAAAAAAAAACCCTGGGAGGTGAAAGGACACCCTCCCCCCAACCCACACAAGAGATCTAAGAGATGCACTAATCTCTAGAATCCTTGAATGTGACCTCCTCAAACAGTGAAAAGGGACTCTGAAGATGTAAGTTCAAGACCTTGAGATAGGGAGATTTGTGATTATTCAGGTATAGGCTCCAAAGGAAATCACATGTAACCTTAGATAAAGGGAGGTGAGACAAAAGGAAAAGAGAGGGTGACAGTCTCATACAATCCAGTCTCAGTACAATGCCATAGCTATTCGAGGCTGGCAGAGACAAAAGGGGCTTTTGCAAGAGATAAGGAGTGTGGCCCCACAACACTATGATTTGGGCCCAGAATAGCTAACTATAGGTTTCTGGCCTCCAGGACTATGAGAGAAGAAATGTGTTGTTCTACACCACTGGGTGAGCAGTGAGGTATTACAGAAGCCATGGAAACTAGGGCAGGTCCACGGAGCCACAGATGGTTACCAAATGCAGAGGAAAGGTCTCTGAGCAAGAGCTCCCCTAACTGAACACATGGCAGGTTCTAACGACACTGGGGCCTACGGGGAGATTTCTACTACTAGTGAGTTTAACATGATGCACGATACCTTTGTGAATCTGGTCTTCAACATGTCAATGGCATCCACTACGATACTGCTGAAGAACTCTCTTAGAGCATCCAGGCTGCAGTGCCACAGCAGGGTGAGGAGACAGCGATCTACAAAGGCTTGGCGGGTCATATTTGAAAGTAGGTCATTCCTCCTGAACATTCTGTACACACTGTCCAGAAGGCCTGACTGCGTGACACAGGAACTCCTAAGAAAAAGAGATAAAATTATATGCCAAGCTTGGAGATACACACCTGTAATCCCAATACTCTGGGCAGCTGAGGAGGGAGGGCTGCAAGCCTGGGCAACGCAGGGACTTCGTGAGACCTTGCCTTAAAATATGAAATACAAAAGGATGTAGCCCAGTGTAAAGTGAGTTCCATCCCCAATAACACACAGAGACACACACACACACACACACACACACACACAGAGTTACACATGCACACAAAGTTCATGCTGTGAATAAATGCCTTAAGTATCTCTTACATAAAAAGCAGCACAAACTCCAATTATTATGAAATACAAAATACCTTAAAAGATGAGATAAATGAAACCTATCAAGACAAGAATCATTTGCACCTAAGTTGGGTTGCTTTGTTCACCCCCAGAAACCTTCAAAACCAATTTAGGCATTAGGAAGAAAAGCCTGTCATTTGCTCCCAAATCTGTTCTCGCTTGAGAACACTGGAAAGGCTCGGGGAGAGCGTCGGCCTACAGATGCTCACATTCTGAGGAGCTGACACTCACAAGTTTGTACTGAAAAATTCCGGGTTATGTCTATTCATCAAGCACTATGCTTATTTCCTAAGCAGAGATGCAGCCTGCTATGTGAGCCTTCCTCACCGGAAAAATAAAGTATCTGAATAATCAGCATTAAAATTCTGTCCATAAATCGATACATTAAGAATGCAGCTACAGCCAGGCATAGTGACATAATTTGTCATATACTATTATGTGACATAGTGACCTGTAATTCCAGAAGTCATGAGGCCGAGCTTAAGACCAGCTTGGGCTATAAAGTGAGCTCAAGGTCAGCCTGAGCTGCTTAGCGAGATCCTGTGTCAAAAAGACAAAAAAAACCAAAAAACAGAAAACCAATCAGCTGCACATAGCAGCATCACCTATAATCCCAGCACTCAAGAGGCTGATGCAAGATTCCAACTTGAAGGCCAGCCAGGATATGAAACAAGCTCAAGGCCAGCCTAGTGCACACAAAGCCTTTGTTTTTAAAAAAGAAAAGAAGAAAAAAAAATTATGAAAGAAAACACAACAAAAGAATACGGAGTTACATTTCCTTACCTATTAAAAGAGGGTTAGAACAAAAGTCTTTAAAACCCAAATGCTCTGAAGCTGACCAGGGTAAAATAGGGTAGACAGAGGATGCTTCAAGTCTGCAAGACACTACCATGTGCCACACTGACTTTTTGATGTTCACTGGGCACTACTGCGGGCCCAGTGGTCACGCCCCTCCCCAATCCTCTCCCCAGCTAATGGTATTAATAGGAGGGGACTTTGGAGCTCGTGAACTGTGAGGGTCCTCAGGGATCAGGGCCTCTGTAGAAGAGGCCTGAGGGCACTCCTTTCCCCTTCTACCATATGAGGGCACAGCAAGAAGGCACCACCTATGAGATAGAAAGCAGATACGGAACCTGCTCCACCCTGATTCTGAATTTCCAGTTTTCACAACTGTAAAAAATCAATTTATAAGTTGTCCTGTCTGTAGTATTTTGTTACAGCAGTCCAAACTAAGACATGCATAATCTCTGCTTTAATCTACCTCGGAATTTTACTGGCCAAATTCAAAAATCATATAAGCGTACAGCTATTCACTGTGGCGTTATTCTTAATAGTAAGTGATGGAATTCAAAGTCAAACCATGGAGCGTCATGTCAACATCCAATGACACTTCCACACAATAAAGAACTGCGCACTTGCTTAAATAAGAAGGAAAAAGGAAAGCACATTTTCCTGCATCTGCTGAAATGAAAACAGGCTTTGGTCCTTTATTCTATCAGTAATGGTGCCCGACATCAATTGATTTCCAGGTGTTAACACAGGGTGGTGCTCCTACAATAAATCCCAGTCAGTTACGACACACACACAATCTCTTTCCCATCTTGGATTTGGCTGGCTAACGCAGCGGGGGACACACTTGTGTCTCTATCCATGAGGAGCACTGGACTGCAGGTTTTTTGTGACGAAGATTTTTTCTGGCTTTGGCATCAGAGGAGTTGGGAAGAATCCTTCTCCTACTTCCTAAAACATATATGAAGTATTGATACTTTTTCCTTAAATATTTGATAAAATTCACTACTAAAGTATCTGGGTCTGGGCTTTCCTCTGTGGAAACTTTTAATGATTAAAGATGTTCAGATTTTCAAATTTCATGTTGAGTCAATTTTATTGATTTTGTAGGAATTTCTTTCACTTAACTCGTAAAACTTCTGACATAAAGCTGTTTGTAATGTTCCCTTAGTTTTTTTAACTTCTGAGAAGTCAGTAAAAATGGTCCCTCTTTCATTCCTGATTTTCATAAAATACTTTTCCCTTTATTTTTGATCTAACAACTTGTCAATTTTTTAAAAACTAACTTCTAGTTTAATGCATTTTCTTACCATTTTCCTGCTATTTGCTTTCATTCTAATCTTCGTTTCTCCCTTCTTTCAGCTTACCTTTGGTTTAGTTCTCTTTTCCAGATTTTAAGGTAGAAAGTTCAGATTATTCATTTTTTTGTTTGTTTTAATTTTTATTGTTGCTGGGGGTGTTTGTGTTGGAGACAGAGTCCAAACTGTCCCTAAACTCATTATATACCCTTGCTGGCCAAGTCCTCAATTTTCTTCTGCTGCTGATTTCTAATTAAATGTCATTGTAGTCAGAGAATATAATTTGTATGGCTTCAATCTCATTCTATTTTTAAAATTTTTTATTAGTACATGTTTACAATATGTAATGATTACGTTTGTCACGGGGAGCCGGTCCATGTACACAATATGTCTTCTTTTTACTTCCCCTCTCTCCCTCCCTCTCCTTTTTAAAAGCACCAAATCCTGTTTTATGGCCCAGCACCCTCCATGGCACCCCTGATTTCAATGCTTTCTGCACCCCAAGATTACAGCAGCTATTCCTAGCTGTCATGGTTTGGGGATTTCGCAAAGGGAACAATATAATGCAGGAAACGTTTCATAATATTAGTTATAAGGAATCACCCAAGAAGCATATTCAAGTGCAGGAAATCTATCCACACACTAAATACTAAAGACTCCAGCTGAGGGCCTGGATCCTAATTTCCGGCATGAGTCCGTATGAAAACCTAGAGCTCATAACAATGGAGGCCTGAAGCCCACAACAAGGTCTCATGTAGGCTTGCTTGGTGGATCTGCGCTGGAAAGGCCCAAGGGTCTGTGGTGGAAGCTGGGAAATCTACACCAGTGGGATGGAGGATCTGTGCTAGCAGGCTGAGGGATCTGAACTGGGGCTAGGAAGCAATGCTGAAGGTAAGCACCAGAGCTCCCCCAAAGGTACCACAGCCATCCTCAGCAACAGTGAGGTCCCAAGCTCCTCCAGCAATGAGGAAAGCCGAGTTCCCATCAGGAAAGCCAACGTGACAAGCTTCTCCATGAGGCTGAGCAGTGCACTGTCTTCCCCTCCAGAGCCAGGAAGTGATGCTCAAGATGAGGATCCAAGCTTATCCAAAGTTCATCAGGAAAGCCAGCATGACAGGGTCCTCCAGCAGAACAGCCCAAGAGAATGAGCAGCTTCCAACAGCTCCAACAGCTTCTCTAAACAGCATCCCTAACTGCATCCCTAACTGCATTCAACAGCTTCTCCAGTTCTGCCTTTATGCTGCTGGCAACAGCCCTCAGGTGGGCCTCCCGCACCCAGCACCATGCTAGTTCAATTCAGCTGGGTGTATTCAGTTGACCACCAGTTAGAAATCCATTACATGCACACACACACACACACACACAAATAAATAAAATAAATTAAAAAAAAAAAAAAAAGAAAGAAATCCATTACATGTCACACTGTCCTGCCTCGGGGCCACCAGATTATGGACTGAAACCTCTATAAACTGTGAACCCAAATAAACTCTCCTTTAAATTGTGGGTAGTGAGTGTTGTGTCACTGATGTGGAAAGTGACCAAGATACTCTGTCTGGAAGAATGTTTCGTGTGTGTTAAAAGTCCACATGTGGGCCAGGAATAGTGGCACACACCTGTAATACCAGCACTTGAGAGGCTGAGACAGGATGGTTGTCACAATCTGAGGCCATCCTGGGTTACACGGGGAGCTTCAAAGAAGCCTGGCCTACACAGAGGGACCTTATCTCAAAAAATTAGAAAATAAAAACAAAACAAAAATGAACGCATGTTCTGTCACACAGAATGTTGTATAGTCGATTAATTGCCATATGGTATTTTGGAAAGCATCAAGAGGAAGGAATAACCTACTAACTCATGCTACATCATGGGAGAGCCTCAACATAGCAGCCTGAAGAAAGAACCCATGTGCAAGTGATCACACAATTCCATTTATATGAATAGTTTAGAAAAGGCAAATTTATGACAGAAAGGTAAACTAAAAAAAATTTTTTTTTCATTTATGTGTTTGGTACAGGGTCTCACTACATAGCCTGGACTCATAATGATCCTCCTGCTTTCAGCCTCCCCAGGCACTGGGATTACAGGCGTGTGTCACCATGCCCGGACCAGTCGCTGGCTCAGAGTGCCCCAGGGCAAGGCTGGCATGGCATGTGAACCAGGGATCAAACCCTGGTCCCTGTGCTTGCCAAAGCAGGCACTTAGTCTGCTGCACTATCTCACTAGCCCTAAATTTTTTAAAAAGCAGATTAGCAGTCGCTCGGGCTGACTGTGTGAATGGGAGTCAACTGTAGAAGGCGGTGCAAATCTTACTAAAGAATAACAATATCCAATGGTAATGGCGGTACCACTCTTAAAATTCCTAAAACAATCATTCAGTTGTATACTTAAAATGCTTAATTCTGTAGTATATAAAATATAACTCTAAAATAAATGTAGTTATAAATTCAATATAAATAAATACCAATTTAAAAAGTTCACTGAACATTTACAATTAGAAGTAGCTATACCAGCAAACTTTTACCTTAAAAACTAATAATTAAGTATATCTCATCTTTCCTACTACATTTTTCTACTTTTTTTTTTGTACCAGGGATTGAACTCAGGACCTTGTGCTTGCCAGGTAGGTTCTTTAGCTACTGAGCTATTTCTCCTATATTTTTCTAAAATAGTAAATTATTCTTTAGGTAACCAAACTGTCCTAATTATGAGCATAATTTCATTAGAGTGTTAACTACAACTACTGAATTTAAAATGGACACAAGAATCAGAAAAATGGCTATTTTCAACTCCTCATAAAATAATCAATTAAGGGCAACTAAAACGTATGCTAAACCCATTAGGAAAACGCTCTATAAGGAACCTGGCTGCCCAACTTTAGCATCTGATGCAGGCCAACTGGACAACAGGTGTCCCCCACTGGCCTAAAGATGAAGCAGAGGACATTAATTAGCAAGCAATCTTGCCAAAATGTGAACCTGAAACAAAATGAACTCTTAAGACTTAACTCTCCATAAGAGGAAACAAGGACTGGAGAAACAAGTTAAATAAAAGGACCAGGAAAGACTCAGAAATCCAAAATAAAGACACTGAACAGGGCAAATATCTAGGCTTTCTCAGTAAGGAAAGAGGACTGGTCCAGAAGTCAGACTTAAGAGATGTGATTGTGAAATGATCAGGAGTGGATCAAAATTCAAATATCCAAGAATATTGAGGAGTGTAAGGCCTTTTGAGATGGCAAATCAGAGCATGGACTGACTGGAGATTTTGTTCAGATGATAACAGCATGTTGAAGAGCAAAGCACAAGAACTCAGGTGAATTAATGATGTGGTAAATATTTACTTTAAATTAAAATATCAATCAAGAAGAAAAGCTAACGGGAAGAATAAAGCAAGGAAACTGCTGGTTCATTATCTGGAGCCTCACACATAGGTTTTCTTAACCTCTAAGTGTGTGTGTGTGTGTGTGTGTGTGTGTGTGTGTGTGTGTGAAAACTTACAAAATAAAAATTGGTTTTTAAGAAAAAATAAATAACATGCAATGGTAAGGGCACAACATTCTGTAGAAGAGAGAAGACACTGTCCCTCACAAGCAAGCGCCATGACTCCTGTGCTTTCGGCTTACCTTCTGGCAATCCTTTGGAAAGTGGCCTGGAACAATTCTTCCATGACGTGCTGCTGTTCTCGGCAAAGAATCTCGGTCATCAATTGTAACAGCATGGGACTCTGGGATAATTCCAGTGCATCTAGAAACTAGGACAGGTACATAATCAGTATCAACAAAGTGTCATGGGCTTGTATTCTTTTTAACTATTCTAATTTTAAAAATTGAGAAGGAATTATAACAATTCCACACAACACTTTAAAATGCTAAATTGTTGTCCTTTTTGCAGAACAGAATGCCAGCCTTCTTAATAACATTCATTAAATACTCAAGTTTTGATTCCTTGCAGGTGTCCTTCCTTTTAGTGCCCAGGTTGTGAGGCTCCACAACTTGCCTGCACAAGCGTCTTCTTCCTTCACCCGTCCTCCTTGGCCCTCTTACGGGGGGTGGGGACACCTGTCTTTTCTCAGAGTTCTCACTGCATGGCACTGTCCTGTACACACTCTTAATGTTCTCCTCTTTGCTATGATCTGCCCCTCTGTTGATTTGTTCTACTTTTTAAAAGATAACACCAATTTTATCTTTAGAAGGGAAAAGGAAGCCAAGTGTGTAGCATATGCCTGTAATCCCAGCACTTGGGAGGCTGAGGCAGAAGGGTCGCTGTGAGTTCAAGGGTAGCATGAACTGTGTAACAAAACTGTCTCAAAATGAAAAAAAAAAAAAAAAGAAAGAAAGAAAGAAAAAAGAGAGAAAGAAAAGAAAAAATGGAGGGCCAGCGGTATAGCTCAGCAGACTAAGCGCTTGCTTAGGTAAGTGCAAGAGCCACATGCTGTGCCGGCCCCACCCCTGGGTGCGCTGAGCCGGTGATGGATGGAGTCTGGGCGTCATGGCATG